TTTATTTTAAATCTATATTAATAAGATTTTATTATCTCATTTGGATATACCATATTTTACGCAAATAACACGTGCCTTCTGTGTTTGTTTGCCAACCATGCCCACCCCCAATGTGGTATTTTCATAAGCACGGCTTTGCCAATTTTTTTTATATGTTGCTGTAAAAAAAATTAGCATAGTGCATGTACAAAAATAGCTCGAGGGGGGCGGGAGGGCAAACAAACATAGAAGACATGCGTTTGCATAAAAATGTGGTGCTTGTAGGTGATACGATATAATTCTAGCAAAATATAATGAATATACTGCATTCCAGGCAAGTTGAGAAAATCAGAGGTTCAGATATTACTAAATAGTGAGTTGCCTAATACAAATTACTTTTGGTAGATTGAAATATAACTAGAGTTTCTAAAATTGGTTCCTGACTCATTCTCCTTTTTACCGACCCAGTTCAGTATCTGAACTAAAGCAAAGTAAAGAGATTGCAGTATTCTAAAAACTAAATTACAAGGAAAACCTCACCAACATGATGTATCTCAACATTTTCTTCATGTTACTTTTCCTTAGCTTACTAAAATCAATTTGGATGCACAGAAAGTGGAACAGATGTTAAGAGATGAATTAGCTGAGAGTGTGAGCAAAGCAGTAAGTGATGCCGATAGACAACGGATTCTAGAATTAGAGAAGAATGAAATGGAGCTAAAAGTTGAAGTGTCAAAGTAAGTACATGCAAACTTTTTAGTCAGTTTGATTATATGTGTCTTCTCTAGTTAATCTTTAAGAAACCTAATTACAAGGGCACAAGGGTAATATTCTTAGTGTCAATTGATACTGGTTTCTTTTTGTAAGAACAGAGTTAAGTAATATTTAACCTTGTTAAATAATAATATTGGAGAGGAAATAGCCTCTCAATATTTACATTTTTCAGAATCTGAATGGTGGAAAGCACTCAATTTGGAATCAAGACCCTATGAGGCCTGGTCCCTCCACATACTAATTTTTTTTTTTGTTGTTGGAGAAGCAATCACTTAATTTATTTAAATTTAAGCTTAATTTATTTAAACGTCAGTTTCTTTACTTTAATAAATGAGCAATAGTGCCTCTTCTACCTTTTCTATAATGTTGCTGTAAAAACATAATGAAAAATTCAGATTTTGACTTAATTTACATTTATTCAGCATCTGCTATATACTAGGTAGGCACTGTGCTAGGTATTAAACATGTATTAACTCATACGGTTATGCCTAATAATCCTGAAGTAACATTAGTGTTTTCATTTTACATGAGGGAACAGGGTCAGCTAGCCTAGAACACAAAATCTATGTAAGGAGTAAATACTGTGTGCCAGGTAGATGCTCTGTGCTCATTCTCCTCTGTAATTAGCTGCTGTTCTTGTGTGCCCTCAAGTTGATTCTGACTCATAGCCCTGCTGGCGCAGTGGTTAATCACTGGGCTGCTAATGGAAAGGTTGGTGGTTTGAACCAACCAGCTACTCTGTGGGAGAAAAGTCCTGGACATCTGCTCCTGTAAAGATTCCAGCTTAGGAAACTCTAGCGGGTAGTTCTACTCTGTCCAATAAGATTGTTATGAGAATTAGCTGCTACTTCAGTAGAAAAAGTTGAGGAGCACTGACTTAATCTATGAAGAGCAAATAATTAGTAAAAAATTTGTTTCAATGGCTCACCCGTAAAGTTATAGTCATCTTTTTGGAGCCTTAATAGTCCTTTTGGGAATATCAGTTATTCCCCGCCTTTTTCATTAAGAAGGACTTCTTTTTTTTTAATTCCTCCTCTGTCTTCATGGAACTCATCTTTTAAAATAATTTATAAGTATTCATTTTATCATATTTTATTAGTCAAGATTTATATAACTGGAATGAGGACTTCTGATCAATATAAGAAAACCAGGTTTATCGATCACACTGAGCTGAAATTGTTTCAGCCCAATGCAAAGAAACTTTACATTTTACTTTACCTATATAATTTCATCACAGTAGTCATATGGGAAATTGAAGGATTTATTACCATCAAGCTCCTCCTTTTTTTCCGTAATCCAAGTGAATGCTTACTTTGCTTTTTTTACACATTTTTGGTAACTTACAAGTTAAAATAAATCAAAATGTACATTAATCCACCTAGGGTATCTAGGAATTTAAAATTTCTATATTTTTAACTGTACAGTTTTATCGGATAGACCTAATTAGTACCTTATTCTAGCATATCTCAAACTATGGTAGCGCCTCATGAAAAAAAAAGTGTAGGAGAAAGTTCTTTGGCCATATATATTTGGAAAATGATATAGTTAAGTCCAGTTTGAGATAATTATTTAGTTTAGAACTTCTTAGAAGATGTAATATAAATGCTATGTATTATGAATTTTGAAGCGGGAATGGGATGTTGGGAATGGAGTTTTTCACAGAATACTTGTTAACCTCTCATGGAATCATGTTTCGTGAAACACAGTTTAGGAAACCTTGCTTTAGTATTTTATACAAAGAAGAGGCACTGGAAACTAATGACTTTTCCAGTGGTCTAGAATTTTGAAATTTTGATGTTCACTTAGAAAATGTATTTAATTGTTCCTGAAATATTTGATTACTTCCTAGACTAAGAGAGATTTCTGATATTGCCAAAAGACAAGTTGAAATTCTGAATACACAGCAACAGTCCAAGGAAAAGGAAGTAGAGTCCCTCAGAATGCAACTGTTAAACTATCAGGTATGTGTAGTATTGGCACTTCTATAGATATTTAAAAACAAACCAAACAAAACTCATTGCTGTCGAGTTGCTTCTGACTCATAGCAACCCTGTAGGACAGAGTACAACTGCCCTATAGGGTTTCCAAGGAGTGACTGGTGGATTCAAACTGCTGACCTTTTGGTTAGCAGCTGAACTCTTAACTACTGCACCACGAGGGCTTCTCTGTAGATACAGTGCTCCTTTTTACCTAAATTCACATTAGATATTGGGATGGTTTTAGAGTTTTATGAGAAAATGAGCCAACCAGAGGGTCCTATTCTTGTTAGTTGGAACCACATTAGAAACATACTTTCAGTTTGAAATACCATCCATAATCTAGAAAAGCATTTAAGTGTCTGTAGCTTCATTGTGCTAACTGTTGATCAGAACTAAGGCACTGATGAATAGTAATCATTCATAACAATATTTTCTCTTGTATTTATATGTAGGTTTTGCATATAAATTTTTTAGGATTAAAAAATAACTGTTACATCGTCTGCAACAGTATGATACTAATGTTCTTATTTGCATATGCGAATTAAAAAGCAGAGTAGTATTCCGACTTTTAGTTTGATGCCTCATTGGGATTTTAAACATATTTGATTCTGTGTTTTCCTCCTGGGTAATTATTTGTATTAAAGCATGGTTAGATTTTTATAGGATCTAATGTACCATTGCTTTAAAATTTTATTTAGTAAATTGCAATTTAAATTCATGATAAGTTTAATTGGAAAAATTTGGAATTTACTACAAACATATGTATATTTTTTAATATTAGGCACAGTCTGATGAAAAGGCACTAATTGCCAAGTTTCACCAACAAATTGTCTCCCTCCAAATTAGTGAGGCTGCTTCTCTTGGTAAGTTGGAGTCAGTTACATCTAAACTGCAGAAGATGGAGGCTTATAATTTGCGCTTAGAGCAAAAACTTGATGAAAAAGAACAGATTCTCTATTATGCTCGCTTGGAGGGGAGAAACAGAGCAAAACATCTGCGCCAAACAATTCAATCTCTACGACGACAGTTTAGTGGAGCTTTACCCTTGGCGCAACAGGAAAAGTTCTCTAAAACAATGATTCAGCTACAAAATGACAAACTTAAGATAATGCAAGAAATGAAAAATTCTCAAAATGAACACAGAAATATGGAGAACAAAACATTGGAGATGGAATTAAAGTTAAAGGGCCTAGAAGAGTTAATAAGCACTTTAAAGGATTCCAGGGGGGCCCAGAAGGTAAAACATTGATTTTCGATTCGTATTTGCAAAAGTTACATAATAATTTTAAGCTCTTAATATGTGCCTATACGAAAAATGATTAGTATATGACTGACCAAAATTGTAATTTATTAATTTTGATTTTATAAATTAGGAATTTTGACTCTTGAATGTGTATTATTTGTTAAAAAGATGTTTCTAAATAAAGATTTTAATAGAAGTGCTTTTATTGTTTAAGATGAAAGAACTTTAACACTAGAACCCTTCCCACATATATTAAGTACTAATTATAATTATTTTTTAGCCATCATAGTGGTAATTATTTGAAATCTACTCTTCATAATTATTAGCTGTTTAAAACTCTTTGTAATTAGTAAATTCACATTTATTTTTTAATATGATTCATTTTTTACCCCTGCTTGATAATAATTAAATAAAATACAATTATCTAACAACTGAATCTTATTCTCTAGGCTAGAAATATTTAGGATTTCCGTTTTTTGAAAGTAAAACTAATGTTACTGCACCTTGCTCAGTTAATTGAGTAAGTGCTTAATAAATATGTGAAAGTGAGTGGAAAATTGAAAGTGAATGTTAATTAAGAGTGATATCCATTCCAACGTAATTTGAAGAAGTTTCATGTTAAAAGCTCACATATTCTTATTAAAGAGTCTATGGAAGTTCTAAATAAGCTTTGCCATGTGGCTTGACTAAAGATAGTTTTATATCTTGTTTTATTATAGAATATTGTTCATTAATTTTAGTTAAAAACATTGGAATCAATGGAGAAATAATTTATATAGCATTTACATTTGTATATATAATTTATAAATCCTTAGGTAATCAGTTGGCATATGAAAATAGAAGAACTTCGTCTACAAGAGCTTAAACTAAATCGAGAATTAGTCAAGGACAAAGAAGAAATAAAATATTTGAATAACATGATTTCTGAATATGAGCATACAATCAGTAGTCTAGAGGAAGAAATTGTGCAACAGAACAAGGTTTCATTTTATATTTATTTTTGTTTCTTTGTTAAGATTTAAAGCATATGAACATTGCTTGAGGGATAACTACATTTTCTCCTAATTGAATATAGATCCCATTATTGTGTTATAAAACATTCTTGTTTATTTTCTAAACTACTCCAAATATGCATATTTATTTATTTAGTTGTTGTGATAGTGGCTTTACTTACAAGGAACAGTATATAAACAAACTTATTTCATATGTTGGTTTTTAATTTCAGTGTTAGTTATTTGATTGTTCACAGTTACTGTTTCTACTGGCTCTCACTGGTGGGTAAGGAAAAGACAGCGTGATGTAGAAAAAAGCATGTGTACTTTAGAGACAGAGGAAATTCGTCAAACACATGCTTGCATTAGAGGTTTTGTTTTTTCTCTTCCTAAATTATTCTTACCCCAGATACATGTATTGTTTGCTCAAATGTCATACTTTATCAGTGCAGCCTTAACCAACCACCCCATATATAACAGTAAATCCTACTGTCAGCATTTCCTCAGTAGAGATTACCTGGCTTCATTTTTTTTTCCATCTATCACTGCTTTTCTCAAGATGTCCATTTTTCTCCAGCTTGTTACCCTCTGACATATTACATATTTACTTGCTTGTTTATTGTATGTATCCCCTCACTAGAATATAAGCCTCAGGGTGATAGAGACTTGCTTTTGTTCACTGCTGTATTCTCAGTACCTAGAATAATGCTTGGCAAATAGTATGTGTCATTAAATATGTGTTGAATGAATAGATGGGTGAGGGGATGGATAAATGTATGGATGCATGGAAGGATAGTTGGGTTGAAATTCTAACTCCACATCTGTCTATCTCTGTGATCTTAGGCAAGTTACTTCATGTTTCTGAGTTTGTTCCCTTTTCCATAAGATGAGAATAATAATAGCAACCTCAAAGGATTGTTGTGAGGAGTAATTAAAAAATATATGCAAAGTACCTGTTATATGCCTGGTGAGTGTTTGCACGTGTGTATCTGACACAAATTATCCTTTTTCAGTTTCATGAAGAAAGACAAATCGCCTGGGACCAAAGAGAAGTAGAGCTGGAACGTCAGTTAGACATCTTTGACCGTCAACAAAATGAAATACTAAATGCAGCACAAAAGGCATGAATGATTCTGTAGTCTCTGTAGCATTGTCTAAAATGTTAACTCTTAGAAATAGTTCTAAAGTCAGATGTAATTTAACTGATGTTATCTTTTTAATGTTTAAAATATAACAAAACCTATGTTTTGTTATAGTTGTAAAAATTAACATCTTCTTCTCAGTGCTACAACTGCTTTTTTAAAAAAATTTCTAATTCTTAACAGTTTGAAGAGGCTACAGGATCAATGCCAGACCCTAGTTTGCCCCTTCCAAATCAACTTGAGATTGCTCTGAGAAAAATTAAGGAGAATGTTCGAATAATCGTAGAAACGCGGGCAACTTGCAAATCATTAGAGGAGGTAACCACATAAATTTGCATTTTAATTAGAGTATTACTGGGTATATTTGTGTAATTTTCTAAATTATACATAGTTATGCAGGTAGCGCATAGAATGATGAATAGTATCTGTTGCTAATTCCACTCTCCTTTTCCGCTCTTCTATAATGTTTCTAATAGCCAATAAGGAATAGCAGATATGGCTGTTTTGAATTCACTAGCCATTCAGTCACTACTAGTCATTTTTGGGCGTACTGGTCTGTAATGCTGAACGTGAAAAGAGAGAAGAAAGCCGTTAAATTGTAGTTTTATGAGCAATACAGGTGCCTTCCTGTTTGATCAAGAATTGATTCTTTTCATCCTTGTTTGTTTTTATTTTGAAATGCATGTTGTGTACTGCACTGTGTGGGTCAGTTTTGAGCTCATTCCTTTTTGTGGGTGATAAAAGGGTTTGAAGGTAAATTAGAAATTCCTTATCAGTTTACTCTAGGTCTTGAATTTGCTTGATAGGTGATCAAATCAAATCTGCTTTCTTTATTAAATTATCCAGAATATAGTATAAACTGAATATGATTTTCGTATTATTTTCCATCAAAACGTATTAACTGTAAATATCTTTTAAAATAATTTTGCAAGTAAAATTGTGTATTTTTTTAAGTAACTGAAGAAACTAAGATTTTCTTCAGTAATTATAACTAGATTTGTCATTTATGTGAATTGGCAGTGAGTTACTTGATTTAAAATATCTGCCTTAATCCTACTGAAGAGTAAACAGCCTTTCTCTGTTTTGTTTTAATAAACTGCAGATTTTATCATAGTGATTCATTGACTGGCAACCAAAGTACCAATTTCTGTACTCACCTGACTTTTTCAGATTAGTTTTATAGTAGCCTGATAGTCAACGGGTCTAAATAAAAGGAATGATTATTAAATTTCCTTTCTAAATCTAGCACCACACATTTCTAGTTCTAAATCTGCAAGATGTAAATAAGCACCTTAATTAAATTTCATCTTTATCATAAGGACATTTCTAAGATGTGATATTCTTATAACTAAATAAAATATGCATACAGATAACAGTAAGTGTAGTATTACATAGAAATACAATAAATTTAACCTTATTTAATATCAGATGTGTATTATAAGTATGATGTGAAAGTAAAGTGAAACTCCTATTTTGCTTAAAACTAGTCTTACTAAAATTCAGATGAAGCATTTTAAAGGAAAAAATTACTTTAATAAGTAATTGTGATTTGATCATTGCAGAAGCTAAAAGAAAAAGAATCTGCTTTATCATTAGCAGAGCAAAATATTCTTTCAAGAGACAAGGTAATCAATGAATTGAGGCTTCGATTGCCCGCTACAGCAGAACGAGAAAAGCTTGTTGCTGAGCTAGGCAGAAAAGAGATGGAACCACAGTCTCATCACACATTGAAAATTGCTCAGCAAACCATTGCCAACATGCAAGCAAGGTTAAATCAAAAGGAGGAAATGTTAAAGAAATATCAGCATCTCCTGGAAAAAGCCAGAGAGGTATTTGATTATATTACGTTATGCTGTTTTATTTATTATCATGTTTTCAGTCAAATACCAAATATTATTCTACCCTGAAATGGTAGTTTATTTCTTACTTTCAAATAGTTCTATTTAGGAATTGTTACTTTTATGTGATTGGATTACAGATCTGTCAGTAAAACTGACAGTTTATGTATGTGTATCTTTCTCTTAGGGACTGACTACATCAGAAATAGCTTCTAGGGTGAAACTATATGCTTTTTAAAAATAACAATTAAGCTCGTAGGTAAGGATTGAGGCAGTAAGTTACAATGAAATCTGTCACAGTGATTATCAGTGAAAATCAGATTTGCTGAAATTTTCAGGGAGATGGAAATAACTCTCTAAAATTTTTCTAAAATTAAAACAAGTTAAAAGGTGATGAACATACTCTAATGTTAGGAGTAACTTATAAGCTAAGGCTGGGCTTGGCAACTTGAACATGTGCTGAGGAAAGTGAATACTGATCTAAATATAGATGAAAGATAATGATATTACACCTTTCCTATCTCCTAAGGAGCCCTGGTGGCACAGTGGTTAAGAGCTCAGGTTGATAACCAAAAGTTCGGCAGTTTGGATTCACTAGCCGCTCCTTGGAAACCCTATGGGGCAGTTCTACTCTGTCCTATAGGGTCACTATGAGTTGGAATCGACTTGACAGTTTTGGGTTTTTAGTTTATCTCATAGGGATTTTAAAAAATTAAAAATAAGATATTTAAGATCTTTGGAATGTAAATTCATTTGAATCACAATTTAAGATATAACTTTGATTTGTTGTAAAACAGGAGCAAAGAGAAATTGTTAAGAAACATGAGGAAGACCTTCATATTCTTCATCATAAATTAGAACTACAGGCTGATAGTTCACTCAATAAGTTCAAACAAACAGCTTGGGTAAGGGTCTAAGAACTTTCTATTTTTTATTGATTTTGAGACCATATAATTTAAAATTTCACTCTCATTTACAATGGAAATCACCCTACCTTTTGTTGCCACAGTAATCTTCTGAAAACACAGCTCTGATTATTCCTGTCCCTAGACCCAAATCCTTCAGTAGCTCAACACTGTCTGCAAAGTTATGTTCAGACTTTATAGCGATGCACTCAAAGCTTTCTATGGTCTGACCTCAGTCCGTCTTTTCAAATTCTATATGTTGTAAGTTTCACCTATAACTGATTTCCATCTTCTAAATTCAGCTTATACTTCACCTCTTTTGATCATTTTGTCTCTGTGTCAAATGACCTATCATCTCTTAACTGTGCAAATTAACATCCTGCAGCCTTAACTTATTAATTCAGTCAACATTTATTGACCTTCTGCTACATATAGGCACTTTGCTAGATACTGGGAATACAAAGAATAAAGTCTTTATTGAAAACTGTTCTGTCTTCTTTAAACTTTCATTGCCTATTAAATTTTAGATTAGATAGTACATTTTGATCATTTGAGGAACGAAATTAAAAAATACAGTAAGTATGATATTGAGTTCTACATGTCCATGGCTATTATATTCATATTTCATAGGATTTAATGAAACAGCCTCCTACTCCAGTTCCTACCAGTAAGCATTTTATTCGTCTGGCTGAGATGGAACAGACAGTAGCAGAACAGGATGACTCTCTCTCTTCACTTTTGATCAAACTGAAGAAAGTATCACAAGATCTAGAGAAGCAAAAAGAAATCACTGCATTAAAAATCAAAGAATTTGAAAATATCAAATTAAAGTAAGTCTTAGAAAAGTATTGTTGTAAAAATAGACAAATGGGAATGATGATATAATACAGATTAATGTAAGCATTTCCTGTGCCAGGCACTATTCTAAGCATTTTATGTATATTACTTCATTTTATCCTCATGACAACTTGTGACATAGATTATTATATTTCTGTTTTCCTCATTTTTCACATAGAAAGTTGGGCTACAAAAGGCTTAGTAACTTGTCCAGGAGGAGGTAGGAGAACCACATTTGAATCTAGTCAGTCTGACTGAAGAGCAGACCAGTTTTTGTCCTGAATCTGATTCTTAAACCCTTTAAGTTTCAGTTTTCTCATAGATAAGGTAGAAATAACAGTACTTCCCCTGGCTCTTTCAGGGTGGATATGTGAAGACTAAATGGTACTGCCTATGAACATAATTTGAAAATTTGTAAAGTAACATTTAAATATAAAACTTTTATTTATTGCTATCCTCATACACTGTAACAATACCTGGCGCATAATAGATGCACAGTAAATATTTGTTAATGAAAACTTAGCTATATTTTTTGTTATTAACCATAGTGACTGTTGATTACGCAACAGCATTCTTTATATTAAAGAGTGTAAATGTTGCTCAACCAGAGTATCAGAACATAGATCTTAAACCCAAACTAGATTTGTAATTACTCATTTTTTAATCATTATAGAACTATCTTTTTGGTCCTCAATTTTTTTAGGTGAAAAATGAGAAAGCTGAGCTACTTAACCTATAATATCCGTCCCAACTCTGTAGCCCTTATTATTCCTTTGATTCTTTTCTTACTCCAAGATACTTTTGACAAAAGTAACACTATTTTTACTTTATTAAGTGTATGCTACTTTTAAAAAGTTAGTCTCTAAAATAAAACTGGTTTAGCAATAACATGTTATAATTTCAGTTTTTTTTTCTCCACTCTTAAATTTTTTCATGAGATTTTATTTTTGGTACAGTAGATTTCTGGTCGTGTTTTAGAGTTTAAAAATTACTTGTGCTGTTACGTCTAATTCTTAGCTATAGAAAGTAATCATATTTTGAAATTACCTTATAAATGTTATTTTTTTTACCACATGAAATACTTGAAGTAGTTATTTTGTACCTTACAATGTTATTTAACCCTTAAGATTACACTTTTATTCTCTGTATTCACATTGCTGTACATATTTTAATGTATCTTAAGAAACTATGTATCTGTTTGATTTCTTCACTAAAACCTGATTATTTTCACAATTTGGTTATTATTTAAAGTTAGACTTCAGTTTTCACTGTAACAAGTCCCAGAAAGTTTAACATTTGTTCATGACAACCCAATCTTCCCTTTATTAGTCAAATTTTAATATTCGAATTCCATATTGATGACCTTACTGTTCCACTGTATGTATGCACAGTTCGGTTTATCAGACTTACTAATGCTTAATGAGCGGTAAGGATTAATTGAATAACTAAGCAGTGATAGTATCTATCGACATAATAGTAGTGACTTTGGAATTATAAATTAATAGTACATGTGATATCTGTGAAAGTTTATAGTCTGTCTTTGCAACATGTCAATATAGAATAATGGTTCTTGACTAGGGATAATGTTGTCCCCCAGGGAACATTTGATAATGCCTGGAAACGGTTTTGATTGTCACTAGGGGGTACTACTGGTATCTCGTGAGTAGAGGCTAGGGATGCTGCTATACGTCCTACAATGCATAGGATGGCTTCCAACAACAAAGCATTATTCCATCAAAAATGTCAATAGTGCTATTGTTGAGAAACGTTGAAGTAGAGGAAGAAGTCTTATTTTACTGGAACAATAATGCTTAAAGTGCTATTTTGTTCGTTCTCTGTATTATTTGACTAGGGTCACAAAGTAGCACAATGTGATTACCAAAAATAGCAGAAAAAAATGTCTATTTTATGCTAAGCTTAAGAGAAGTTAAGTGGAATAAAAGAATTGTCTTGTTTTTTATTTTGATGTCTACATCAAGACTTAGATTGTAAGGATACTTAGGACTGAACATTTGTTCTTTGTATAATTCGTTATCAAT